AAAAAAAAAAAAAAAAAAAAAAAACAGATAAGACCATACTTGTGACCATTAAGAGTTCTTACATTAATTAACCATTTTAAATAGAACTCATTAAAAGTTAAGTTTGAGACCACTAATTGAATCATTTTTCTCACTTATGAGTCATTTTATTCAAATAGGAGTACTATGCTACTAGGACTTTGGTCTCATTTTTGTGATTATTATTTAAGTATATTATATATATACATATGTATTATTAATATTATTATTATTATTATTATTATTTTAAGTATAATAGTATTAAGCTTTTTATAATTTAGTATGATTTATATGACCATTATTGGACTCTCTAAAGGTGTTTCTTTTAAAAAAAAAAAAGCATATTATAATATGATTTCATAAATATTCAAATATAAACAAGATATTCACCTGTGAGACCAAACACAAAAATAATACATACATATCTTGAACGAATGATGCCTCTTTTCTTCGTACACAGCATTTGTTTTTTTTTTCTTCTTTCATTTTCTTTAACTTCTTTTCCCGTGTTTACTTTTAATGAAGCTGCAATTGAGAAAGAATATAGATTTAAGAATTAATGAATTAATTGATTAATTAATTATAAGCTAGATATATCGGCGTTGTACAATAGAAGGTAATTTACGTTATAAGACATAAATTTGGAATTTTATCATGATTAAATATTATGTGTTTATCTAATTGAATACTTAGAAGGCACTCGGTCCCCTTTACGATGTATTTTGAACTCTTATGCGTATATTTGTATTACAATGTTCACAAAGAGTTCAATTTTACCATGATTACAAGTGCTAAGAAGTAAAAAATAATAAAATAACAAGAAAGAGAGATTAAATAATAATGAAAGAGTGTTAAGGGAAGATAGATGATGATTATTTAGTCTATAATCACGTTTTCATGGTGAAATCATTCGTAAGGGTCGAGGATCGTTGTGCCTTCGTTTATATACGTTTAACATGTTTAGTTTAATAGTAAGGAGGATAAATGTCCACTTTGTGATCGATAAGAAATTGTTCATTTCCCATGTTTTTTTTTTTTTTATACGTTCTTTCACTGCTTATTTAGATAATAAGTTATGTACCCTAAAAGAGTGTTTCAATAAAAATGACAACGAAAATGGGTTCATTCATAATTTATACCTAAATGCACTTCTTATGTTTACAAATTATTGGTTAGGTTATGCAGAATGTTATTAATCCTAGAAATGATTTTAAATTTAATATCAAATAATTATAAGATTGTAATAGAATTATAACCTGATCATTATCAACTAGGTTATGCACAATGTTATTTATCATTAATAAGTGATTTTCAATTCAATATAAAATATAATCAAATAATTATAAGATTGTAATAGAATTATAACCTCATTATTTTTGTTATATACACTAATAATTTTTTACAAGAACATTTTATAATGACACAATCTAAATTATTATATTTGATTAATTTTGTATTATTTTAGAACAGTTTATAACTTTCTGCATTAATAGGTTATCCTAATTGAAAATAGGTTTTGAAAAAACATAATATGTCAATAATTCTAAAAATTTGAAAAACACTAATGTATAAAAATCAATCTTTAGATTTAATTAATTACAATATTATAAATATTCAATATACATAACACCAAAATTTCTTTTCTTTTATTACTTCCACACTATCAGCTGTTTATTATGTCACTACTGTCAAATCTTGTACAATAATAACACGTCCCTTGAGATAGTCCACTCACTGACAGGTATGTTACATAGGTCAAACGCCATTGGTCGAGAGCGGAACCAATGAGAAAAATTCTAGAAAAATTATCTTATAAATTCTGAACTAGTAATAAAATGATTTCAAATTTTCATAACTCAATTTAGTGTCTATCAGAATGACTATTTTAATTTTTATTTCTTTATTACTCATACAGGTTTATTAGTTTATGTTTAAAAAAAAAATATTTTAGTGATTTAATTATTCTCAAGTGTATTTTATTTGAAAGTGGTGGTTATGTTATCCCCGTATTTATAAAGTATTGTCATTTTAAGTTTGCAAATATCACAAATATTTAAATTATTAATCTATTATTACAATAACATTTATCTTATCATGGCAAAATCATGTGATAGCATAGTTTTATGTAGAGGATTACCTGAACAAACTTTACAAGAAGACAATTATTTGATTACTTTACAATCAGTTGGTTATAAATGCTATTATTTATATACCTCACGATTTGAATTTGATAATAGCCCAAATTTAAAAATGTGCTTACAAAACGCCGAATATTATAGTGGTAATATATAAATATTATATATATATATATATTCATTATACATATGATTTAATATAAACAACGACACGTATGTTAATGTAGGTTTAATATTGACTAGTCAACGTGCCGTAGAAGCAATATATAACATACTCAAGGATGATAAGATATCACTAAGCAGGTGGCAAAAATTACCTGCATATTGCGTTGGTCCTGCAACTGCATCACTTGCAAAAAATAACCTTGGTTTAGAATTCTGTTTAGGTAGTGAAACCGGTAATACCAAGGATCTTGCAAAAGTCATTATTTCTCATAAAGCATTAATAACAAAACCACTGTTATACCCTTGCAGTGAAATTGCACATGCAACCATTGAACAAGTTCTTTCAAAAAATAGCATTGATTTAAAAAAACTTGTTGCTTATCGGACTGTAATGAGACAATCATTAGAAGCTGATTTCTTAAATATCGTTAGTACTACACCAAAAATATATGTCTTTTTTAGTCCATCTACCGTAGATTACTTTGTATCCATATTAAAGAGACATCCTAATTATATTAAAAATATTAAAGCAGTAGCAATTGGTCCTACGACTAAACAAAGTTTAATACAGGCTAAATTTGAAGTTTATGCCACTGCAGCAAATCCAAATCCAACATCTTTATTAGAAGCTATTAACAATGCTGGTTGCAATAGTAATTCAGATACAATGATGTAACATATGAAATATTTTTATTCTCAATGTTGTAAATATTTTAGATGTTATTAATTATTCGTTTAGAATTGTATATTATTATTTTTTTCATTGCGAATAATATTATATTATATTATATATATATTTTATTTATTATGATACTTCTATAACTGTGATACATTGTGAATGAATAATTATTAACAGAATTTTCTTTTATTCAACTAATTACAGTAAAGATTAATGTCCATTATGATATGTGCAACAAACTTTACAATATATTTTTGCAATTTTATTAAACATAATTAAATTGGTTAAATTAATAAGACTACATCAAAACTATACAATTATCAAAATTCTTTATAACAATTATACTCATAATGTATATATATTCTCTAATATGTTTCGAGGATTTTCATTAAAATATCAACTTAATGTAAATTATGTACAAATAATAATGCAGTAATGTGAAAGTTAAAAAAAAAAAAAAGAATTATTGTTAATACTCTGTATACATTAGATTCTACAATAGTTACTTAGTCTTATATCATTTATAATATAAATTAAATAACTTTTCTTGTAGTTGATTTTTCAAAATTTTTGATATAATATAATGCCTTTTATTACTAACAAAAGAAAAAACATAATCGTGTCTTTGAGTCTTTTCTGATAATCAGCAATTGCAAACAAATTGAAGTATACCGAGTTAAAATATTTAATATTATTGGCGACTAAAGTAGTTAATTAATGAAAATTTCAACTACTTGCGTAGTACAAAATAATGTAGTAAATATAAGCTTAAAGAATTATTATGATAAAACGTGTAGCTAAAATGATTTTATTTTGTGAACTGTCAATAGTACATTTATTGATTTTTTATCATTTATCCTTTATGCTAATGTGGCGCCACCCTAATTTAATACATTTCGAAGGACACTTTTCATATAAACAAATGATTTCCCTTACCTCTACCCCCAATAATTATCAAACGTATTTTATTTAAAAGTGGTGGTTATGTTATCCCCGTATTTATAAAGTAATGTCATTTTAAGTTTGCAAATATCAGAAATATTTAAATTATTAATCTATTATTACAATAACATTTATCTTATCATGGCAAAATCATGTGATAGCATAGTTTTGTGTAAAGAAGTACCTGAACAAACTGTAGAAGAAAGAAATTATTTGACTTATTTAAAAACAGCTGGTTATAAATGCAAGTATTTATATACCTCACAGTTTGAATTTGTTAATAGCTCAGATTTAAAATCGTGGTTAATAAACCCTGAATTTTTTGATGGTAATATATAAATATTATATATAGAGATTCATTATACAAATGATTTAATATAAACAACGACATGTATGTTAATGTAGGTTTATTATTGACTAGTGAACATGCCGTAGAAGCAATATGTAACATACTAAGGGAGGATGAAATATCACTAAGCAGGTGGCAAAAATTACCTGCATATTGCCTTGGTCATGCAATTTCATCGCTAGCAAAAAATAACCTTGGTTTAGAATTCTGTTTAGGTAGTGAAACCGATGATACCAAGGATCTTGTAGAGATCATGATTTCTCGTAAAGCATTAATAATAAAACCACTGTTATACCCTTGCACTGAAATTGCACAAGGCCCCTTTGAAGTAGTTCTTTCAAAAAATACCATTTATCTGTATAAAATTGTTGCTTATTGGAATGCAATTAGGCAATCATTCAAAGCTGATGTCTTAAATAACGTTAGTACTAAACCAAAAATATTTGTCTTTTTTAGTCCATTATGCGTAGATTACTTTGTATCCATATTAAGGGATTATCCTGCTTGTATAAAAAATGTAAAAGCAGTAGCAATTGATCCTGAGACTGAAGAAAATCTAATAGAGGCTAAATTTGAAGTTTATGCCACTGCAGCAAATCCAAATCCAACATCTTTATTAGAAGCTATTATCAATGCTGGTGTCAATAGTAGGTTAGATATAACGATCTGACATATAAAATATTTTTATTCTCAATGTTGTAAATATGTTATATGTTATTAATTATTCTTTTAGAGTTTTATATTATTACTTTTTTTTATTTATCATATTATTTTATATTTTCTTTTAATATTATATATTTTCTTTATTTATTATAATACTTCTATAACTGTGATACATTGTGAAGTGAATAATTATTAACAAAATTTTATTTCATTTCAACTAATTACAGTAAAGATTAATGTCCATTATGATATGTGCAACAGAGTTTATAATATATTTTTGCAATTTTATTAAACATAATTAAATTGGTAAAAAAATAAGATTACATCGAAACTATACAATTTTCAAAATACTTAATAACAATTATACTCATGATGTATATATATTCTCTAATACGTTTCGAGGATTTTCATTAAAATCTCAATTTAATGTTAATTTTGTAAAAATAATAATGCAATAATGTGAAAGTTAAAAAAAAAAAAAAGAATTATTGTTAATACTCTGTATACATTAGATTCTAAAATAGTTACTTAGTCTTATATCATTTATAATATATTTTACTATAAATTAAATAACTTTTCTTGTAGTTCATTTTTCAAAATTTTTGATATAATACAATACCTTTTATTACTAACAAAAGAAAAATAATAATCGTGTCTTTCAGTCTTTTCTGATAATCAGCAATTGCAAACAAATTGAAGTATGCCGAATTAAAATATTTAATATTATTGGCGACTAAAGTAGTTAATTATTGAAAATTTCAACTACTTGCGTAGTACAAAATAATGTAGTAAATATAACCTTAAAGAATTAATATGATAAAACGTGTAGCTAAAATGATTTTAATTCGTGAAGTGTCAATAGCAGTGCTGTCAGATAGTGGGTAAATCTTACCCTCTCCCTGTGCCACTGGGATTGCACACAATGAAAGTTTTCCATGTCCGTGTGTTTGGGATGTCGAGGAAAGCCGAGTGTAACCGAAGTTGGCGGTTGGCCACGAAGTGGCACATTATGAAAGCGACTCATGTCCATGTGTTCGGACGACACGAGTCGCTTTCATAGTGTGACACTCCGGCGTGCCCGCCAACTTCGGTTACACTCGACTTCTTTCGACATCCCAAACACACGGACATGGAAAACTTTCATTGTGTGCAATCCCAGTGGCACAGGGAGAGGGTAAGATTTACCCACGATCTGACAGCACTGGTCAATAGTACATTTATTGATTTTTTATCATTTACCCTGATGCTAATGTGGCGCCACCCTAATTTAATACATTTTGAAGTACACTTTTCTTATGAACAAATGATTCCCCTTATTTCTACCCCCAGTAATTCTGAAACGTATTTTATTTAAAAATCGTTGTAATGTTATCCTCGTATGTTAAGTAATATCATTTTAAGTTTGCAAATATCACAAATATTTAAATTATTAATCTATTAGTACAATAACATTTATCTTATCACGGCAAAATCATGTAGTAGCATAGTTTTATGTAAAGGATTACATGAACAAAATTTACTAGAAGACCATTATTTGACTACTTTACAATCAGCTGATTATAATTGCAATTATTTGTATAACTCACGATTGGAAGTTATTGGTAACACAGCTTTAAAAATTTGGTTACATAGACCTGAATATTTTGATGGTAATATATAAATATTATATATATACATTCATTATACATATGATTTAATATAAACAACGACATGTATGTTAATGTAGGTTTAATATTTACTAGTCTACATGCTGTAGAAGCAATATATAACATACTCAAGGATGATGTAATATTACTAAACCGGTGGCAAAAATTACCTGCATTTTGCGTTGGTCCTGCAATTACATCGCTCTAAATATGTCTAGCAGTAAATGGGTTAACAAAATTTTATTTGATTTCAACTAATTACATTAGAGATAATATTTATTATGATATGTGCAACAAAGTTTATAATATATATTTTTGCAATTTTATTAAATATAATTAAATTGGTAAAAAAATAAGATTACATCGAAACTATACAATTTTCAAAATTCTTAATAACAATTATATTCATGATGTATATATATATATATTCTTTAATATGTTTCGAGCATTTTCATTAAAATCTCAATTTAATGTAAATTATGTAAAAATAATAATGCAATAACGTGAAAGTTAAAAAAAAAAAAAGAATTATTGATAATACTCTGTATGCATTAGATTCTACAATACTTACTAAGTATTATATCATCTATAATATATATTTTACTATAAATTATATAACATTTATTGTAGTTAATTTTTGAAAATGTTTGATATAATACAATACCTTTTATTACTAACAAAAGAAAAATAATAATCGTGTCTTTCAGTCTTTTCTGATAATCTCTTTTTAATATGTAATAAATATATATATATATATAAATATATTTAATTACACATTAAAAATTGTTGATACTATTCAAAAATATATATAATATTTGAGTATGTAAATATAATACGGTTTGTATATTTAAAATCTTTTAAAATATTCAAAATCATGAAGGATGCAGGTATTAATTTTTAAATTAATATCTACTTCTATTTACCACATTACCAAGAAGGCACGAAATATCTTGTCCAACGATAGTAGACTGATTTGCATAATAAGGCTGAGGAGCATTTCCTCCATTATTATATTTCATTTGTACGGCCGTTTCATAATCTGGTGCTGGTCTATATGATGGTAATAAGGCACGTAAATTATTTATTTCAGTTGAAGAAACTGAAACTACAGGATACGGTGAAGTTGAAAGATCATTGTAACTAGTCCAATGCATGTGATCATCATCTCTACGATTTTCCATAGATACAGCTTGTTCTCCGGAATCATTTGTATCGCTATCCTATTTAATACATATTTGAAATAATAATTCAATTAAATCTTTTATGAATATTTCTTAAACTAAAATTAACAAATCAAATTAACAAATGTATCCTAATATTTGTACAAAACAACAACAACAAGAAATACAGAGTACGTGTTAATTTATCTGATGATTAAAGTAAAACACAGTTTGAATTGTTATGTCAACAATATTGGTGATTGAAATGTTAAAAATTAAAATCATAATAATATTTGTTTACACTTTACTTACAAAATATGCATTATTAGATCTTTCTGATGGACGTGATTCTTGATGCTGCATATAAAATGTGTGTTGTGCTATACACAAACGCCATACGTATTTTGCATCACGTGATTCATTGAATATAAATTGTTTTGCATCTTCACCTTCAGACTGACATTCTATTCTAAATGTCTTTTTATGATTTATAACGTTACTAATATCTTTCCACCTAATAACAAAAATAATTATATATTAAATTTATATAACTTCATTTAGATATACACACACACAACTATCATTTATAAATATTATTAATATCATTGCAAAATAAAGATTATAATTACCTATAAAAGTGAGTTGTTTGAGATTTAGGACATACCAGCATAATTCCATTAAGTGATACACCAAGTATCACTTCAGAATTAGTACTATCCTGTAATTAATGATTTTATTAAATTATATGTTATAATTTGATTCAATTATTTCTTATCAATGTACCTTTGCAGGAAACGTTTCATTACCATACCCTTCTAATTGTATAACTACAGAAATATATAATTCTTCAGCTGCTGCTTGTGTTACTCCAATTAAATTTTTATATTGACATACTGCATTATGCAATAAAACATCTAATCCACCTGGTTCTGATTGTATTACTTCCTGATAACGTACAAATAATTATATATTATTTATAATAACTGTATTTAAAAATATTTCTATATAACAACACACTAAATTTGATATCTTACTTTAGGAAAGAAGGTACACTGTTGTAAACATTCCATTGTATGTCGTTCTGTATTATAATTACCAAACTCAGCTTGCATCGAATAACTTGCTAAAAGGGTAGCTTGTCTAGAATTGCAATGAATTCTACCTTCCAGTACATCACTTTTTAATTGAAGGTAATAATGATACCTTTATAAAGAATTCAAATCATGTTAAAATATTGATAATGTAATAACATTCATTATTAATTATTATAAAAAGTAATTAACCTTGTCATTTCATCTTGTATACATTGAACATCTGTAACGTAGTACATAATTCTTAGATAAAGACTAAAATTCTTAGCTTCTTTCTCAAGTTGTCGTTTCAATGGTTTATCCATATCTACCCATCGAGGAGATGGAGAACCATGTCGACTTATATAACGTAATCCAAAAATTTCTGGTTGTACAAGACCTAATCGTTGTACAATATTGTCAAGACATTCTTGACCCAAACTGTCAATATTTAAAGTACATTCAATTGATGTAGTATCCAATAATTCTATACATATTACATATTGATTTTTGGACACTACATTATATTGACGACTTCTCTTTAAATGAAATTTAAACGGCATTGTAATAGTATAGAAAACTGAAAGATAATTATAGACAAAATAATTACATCTTTTGGCACAATAGTAATAATATACAAATATTATATATATATATATATTTGTGATCATTATTTCACTTACATTTTACTATTTTATTAGTTACATACATCAAAGAAACATTGTTTTTTTGTTTTTTTTTCAATGAAAAAGTTAAAAAAAAAGAAAGTCAAACAATTTTAATTTCACATTTCGTTATCTAATTATCAAATTATCTGTCAATGTGTACCAATGATTCTTAACCTCTTGCTTCAAATTGTGAAATAATTCAGACGTTTAACTCTAATTTTTCTTATGATAACATCGAGTCACTTCTTTATCGATCTTTTGTATACGTTATACTACAAATGATTTCAACCATATGACTGCAATCAACAAAACTTTTATAAATTAACTTATTTTCTCTTTGAGAAACGAAAATAATGAAAATTTATTTCAATAGCACAATATATATATATATATATATATATATATATATATATATAAACTTTCATCATTCATTTATATGGAAATTTCCTTTGAATACTTTTCTCTTGAAATACCTTACATTAATATAAAAATCACTTGATGTTATATACGTAGAAATTTTAGAAATTCTTCATTGGAATTTAAACATTGCAGTGGTATATCACATATTTTTTGTAAATCAATGACCAAACAGGATTACAGATCATCGACATTATTAACTCATCAAAACAGACTTATATACATACATATATATATGTGTGTGTGTGTATATATATAAAATAAATGGCTTTAAACGACAAAAAGTGAAATATTATATTACCATGTTTTGTTTTATAAAAAACATATTATTGATCGAAATGTTTTTATGGTAATGGGCCAACGTCGCAATGTAAAGAAGTGCCAATAGGCAATTACAGTGAATCTATTACGACCATTAATGGTAATTATGTATCCGTGTTAATCATTTAATAATAAAATATAAAAATTAATTTAAAATAATACAAACAAAACAAATAGAATAATAAATTTTAATAAACGAATTTTACTAAGGGTTCTTTAAATTATTTCTACAGCATTGAATTTAAAGTTCCCTTCTTTATCTTTTAGAGTTTTATATATTTTTATCATGGTACATAGAATTTATTTTATATCGTATTATTACGTCGATACATATAGGCGAATTTTCAAATGGAATTTAAAAGTAGCGCTAAGAGAAGAAAACTGCTCGAAATGGAAGCTGCTTTTAAGGGAATCGACCATTGGGAAGGCTTGTTAAATATCGTATGACTCGACGGTTCGTGCGATGGCGCCATCTTAAGGATTCGAGCAATTCCGTGAAGAATCGGCAATCTCCGGGCCGATGATTGCCGAACGCACATTACTATTTTCAGGCACACAAGGCACCTCTTGACGGGTTTTTAATAAGGAGAGAGAAAGAGAGAGAGGGCGAAACTGTCTCTCGTGTGATATAGAAAACGTTTTTCCTTTTTTTCGTTCCTTGTCATTGAAGATTTACCGTACGGAATAAAAGGTTTGAAAAATCATAGTCGTCCGTGCCGTGAGCGCGTTCGAGAAGCCGAAAAGAAATAGAAAGAGAGAGCGCGAGCGAGTAAACGAGCCAGCAAGAGAGAGAAAGAGAGGGGGAGGAAAACAGAGAAAGAGAGAGAGAGAGAGAGCGATAAAGGAAAAGATGCTCGATCGTCGTCGGGTCTCGTCGGTTCTCGACGCCTGACGAGGTCGTGCTCATCGTCTCTACATCGTTCGTCGGCGAAAATGAAAGAAGCTCGTCGTCTCTACGAGCAGCTGATGGCGGCCGAGCGCCGTTCGAGCCTCCTCCGACGTTTCTCGTGTACGCGTTCCTAGTGTGTGAATGCGTATTCAATATCCTGAATTCACGGAGGAAAGTGCCGAGAGATAATAAGAAAGAGAGAGAGAGAGAGAGAGAGAGAGAGATAGAGATAGAGATAGAGACGACGCGTGCCGAACGGAAGATTTAAAAATACGTTCTGTGTTAAACCGCATACGTGTGCCGCCTATGATTTAGAAACAAAAAGAGAAAGATAGAGAAGACGACACAGAGAGAGAGAGAGAGAGAGAAAGATAGAGAAAAAATAGATAAAGATAGAGATAAAGAGGGGAATAAAAAGAGAGAGAGAGAGAGAGAAGAAAAGAGAGACGCTTTTTCGTGCGGGAGAGAGAGAGACCGCCCCTGGCTCGCGCGAGCTATTTCGTAACGGTGCTTCGTAGAGTCAGTCGACAAGCAAGCACGACTGCGCGGTAAGAATCCCCCTAGCCCTTCTTTTCTCCTTCTCCTCCTCCTACTCTTACAGCTCCTCTTCGTATCGCCGGTGCTCTCTGTCTTTTCTATCTAATTCTTCGATTCTCCGTCGAGAGAGCAAACCGGTGAGCGCTGCGTACGTAAGAAAGAGTGTGTGAACAACGATTTTATGTGCGTGAGAGAGTAGATGTAGTGGGAGAGAGAAAAAGAGAGAGAGGGGTAGCACGTATATGTATGCTGCATACATTGTGTGTGTGGAAAAGAGTAAAAAAGGGGGAGAGAGTAAGAGAGAGAGAGAGAGAGAGTGAGAGAGTGTGCGCGAGTGTGTATGTGTATGTAAGAAAGGGAGGACCACCCTTCTGCTTGCAGGTAGCTAGTTCATTATCCGCTCGTAGTGAGCAAGAAAATTTACGAACGACGCTTCGGTGTTACGGTGTAGGTGGAAACCTCGACACATAGGAGAGACAGGGCGTACGTCCGCGTATGACAACGCCTAACGAGAGAGAGAAAGAGAAAGAAAGAGAAAAACGAGAGCCTCTTCACGGGACGAGAGAGAGAGAAAGAGAGAGAGAGATAGTATACGACACGACGACGACGACGACGACGACGACTACCACGACGACGACGACAACGCACGACGATACTGACGAATCGGCAGCGGTGAGCGAGAGGGAGACCGAAAACGAGCAAGAGAGAGACAGAAAGAAAAGATTCCTTCCTGGACAGATTTAGACGTTGAAGTAACGACGTCCACCTCGCCGTCTTCGTCGTCATCTTGACTTCGCTCGATGGATCTATTCGAGCAGCAACACCCATAATTCATCGACACGTCGACATCTCGAAAGAAAGATATCTTCCTCGTCTCCACCTTCTCCCTCACCAACACCACCACCGCCACCACCACCACCATTACCACCCCCTGCACCACCTCCCTCCTCTTCCTTTCCCTGTTCCCCTTCCTACCCTCTTCTCTTCTCTCCTCGGTGGCACCGTGGACGCGTGCTATGCACGACCGAAACGCGACCGTCGACCTTCTCTGCCGCAGGAACGCGTGAACAGTAGGTTACCGTGTTCAGGTATACCACGTGCTCTCGATTCGCGTTAGTGTGTTGGTTATACTACCTACGGTACCAATAGTGTGTGCGTGTGCATGTGAGTGTGTGTTGCTCTGCACCGACGTCACCTAAAGAAGTTAGCTCTCATCATCCCCTATATCTTGTATTTTTTTTTTGCCCCCTTTATATATCGTGAAAGTGCAGTGAGTCGATATCGACGTTAATTTCCACGCGGAATGCGGCCTCCTCGAGGTGGACGACGCCATCGTTTCTAGTCGCCGTCGCCGCAAACGCCGCCACCGGCGTCGTCGTCGTCACAGTCGACGTCGTCCGGGAAATCGGGGCACGAAACATTAACTACACCCGTTCAAGACGACAATTTCACCCTAGAGATACGTAGAGTGCCTCCGAGTTCAATTCCCAACATGTCGTCAGCGACTTTCGTCGATCGGATAGATCCCTTCGCTAAGCGATCGCTTAAGAAGAAGTCCAAGAAGTCCCAGAGTTCCTCGCGATACAGAAACTCACAGGACGTCGAGCTCCAACAGCTACCACAGCTCAAAGGTTAGTTTTACATTCATTTCATTTATTTCCGTTTTTATATTAGTAGTAATATTTTATTCATTCGCATACTATCTTGGCCCCTGCACTTTACTTACTTTACATTCATACTTTCTTTGCTGTCATCATATATATTCACTCATGCAGGGATACATGTTCTGTAGTTATTTATTATATTATAATAATAGTTATTATTATTATTCTTATGTAGTGTTGAGGATTTTTGAACAAAAAAATATATAAGAGATGAGACTGCGCAGACTGTCTGTCGAAAGCATTTCTATAGTAAAGAATTTCATATTCGCATTAATCAAGCAGGTATTACATGATTAAAGAATTTTCTAATTATCTTTTATTAGTATCAACAATGTAAGGTTCTCAATCAATGTAGAATCATTTTGGAGCGTTCTAAGGAACTTACCATTTATCGGTGTCCTATTAAGCCATACAACTTTTGGTGTCGAAGAATTTTTCTGATCTGTTGTATTTTTCATGTAATAAATAAGCATTGTGTCTTATTTAAAAACACATTAATCATCTTTCATTAGATAGATAATCATTTAACAAATCTATTGATATCTCATATCTTGTCGTAAACTCTAATACAATAATAATTATAGTTCACGATAACTTGCAGTCATTTTTTTTAAAACTAAATGTATTATTATAAACAGCACTATATCATGCATTCATCTTCATATTTTATATTTATATATAACACATAGCAAACTATAATTCATCTAACTTATAAATTATAGTTCTCTCCTATGATGTCGGTGCAAGATAACCTCAAAATTGTCGACATACTAAAAGTCATATTTCAATGCATATTTTTGTACAGAAACTTTTATTAAATTCAAATAATATTGTATGGCAATAAACGGAAAAGTAAATTTTACTTATTTTTAGTATAATATTGGGTAATTAAGATCAATAATTATCTAACATGAAATATGGTATGCTTTAAGTTGTCGAGTAACCGATACAAGAATTGTGACATGTAACAATATATTGAAAATGTACAATTAAAGATATATATATTTATAATTATTATAAAATAATGTTAATTTATAATTAGAGTTGTAATAAACATTATAAATTATTTGAAATAGTTTGAATAATTAGAATAAGTAATATTGTATAAGAATTGCATGCGTATAGTAAAAATCACAGCGAAGAGATTTGATAGAAGTCTCAAAGATAAATTACAACTAAAGATATCTTTTAAAACTGTTAAATGTAATTTATAATTCATTATTATAATAATATAATGTTGTATAATAAAAATGCTGTGTTCAAAAAAAAAAAAAAAAAAAAAAAAAATTAAGAAATTAACTATGGTGTAAAAGTTTACGCTAAAACACAGCGATATCTGTATCGAAGGAAATGACCATAAAGTATACAACAAATCAAATAATAATATTCTAATGCAATTATTTATTATTTATCATTGTAAACAATATATTGTTACAATTTATAGTTAAATATAAAAATTAGTAAGAAAAGTTTATAGCCATACATAATACCTCTTTTATATAACACAAAAGTACAATATTTATCGCATAATAATCTTGACTAGTCTTACCTAATCTTGATAAATAATTACATCAACAAATGATCTGATTGTGAAATATAATTTAAAATTCGAGTTATTAAAAGAATTAACACACAAGAATGTGATGAATGCAGAAAACAATCTATATCCATATAATACCTCTTCACACTTTATTCAACACATTCATTACATATTATCATCACATACCATTCAAAGTATTAAAGTAGACAATATTAAATTTGGCATTAGTATATGTATATATGAATGATAATTATGGCCCAAAGAGAAATCTAGCAGATGACTTAAAATAGATGATTAAATAAACGATAGCCAAAAGTACATCTTCCTAACTTCACAAAATGTATTTTTCGATTGGTCATATTAATCATCATCGCGTGTTCGCATTACTGGACGGTTAATAATCATTTTAATGAATGGTTAACTCGTTATTGTGGGTCTTTCATTGTCTAACTAGCACGGGGCCACTCAACTTTCCTCCTTTTCATTTTTATTTTTTTTTTATTTTCAATTCATTTCTTTTCTTTTTTCTTCTTTTTGCATTCCCTATTGTATCTAATTGTAAGTAGCGGATTTTTAGGGCATCACGTACGGAAATCATTACTTTGACCTAGAAACTTGTAGTTTGTTTGAACGATGAAACGTTTAAACGAAATACAAGTAAGTAAGTAAGCAAGCAAGCAAGCAAGCGTCCACCTTGCAGTCGTTCACCTCTGCCAATAAAACGGCAGTGGTCTCTCTGTTCTCCCTTCCACCTACTCCCTTCACTACCCCCTCCTTTCATTGCTTTTGCTTACTACCTTCCTTCCCCTAGGTCTACTACGGTTACTGTGAGAGACAAACACGTAACTTATATGTACGCACGTATACGCACGTGTGTAACACGTTCTCGATCCGTTCTTCTTGTTTACGCGTATATTTAACGATCGATCGATTGATAGAATAATTTATTTACTTTTTTTGTGCGTTTATATTTATATAATAAAACGACGACGACGACGAACTTTGTTCTCTTCTTTCTTTTATTAACGAATATAATAATAATAATAATAATAATACTCGCATTATTGGTCAAAAATATTTCAATAATAATCCATACTTTTTTTGATGTCATTTTTGACGATGTTTTATTATCACGTTTAAATATACATTATGACGTATGTGATTATTTATAATTAACAATTTTTGTTATTTCTCAGCTGAGAATTTGACGAATATCTTTGTTGAATTTGAATTCTTCATTCGCTTTTACCTTGAGAGAATATTATCTCAACAGTGATTGGTCAATTTTTAGACTGGACGACTACGTGCATCAATTAAACGTATTCAACTGCGAATAACGTCGTGAAATTATTTTGAAGGAATGTTATTGAAAAAAAAAAAAAAAAGTAATAATATTATTTATATTACATTTTTTTTTTGGTATCTTTGAATTTATCGTAATTTTATTTACAACGCTTTTTACATTTATTTCTTTTTGTTTTTGTCTCGTTCATTCGTGTAGACTTTTTGTTCATGTTGATGATGATAGGTAGGATAGGCGGGGGAGGGG